AGTACTTCTGCGATGTTCAAGGAATTTGCAAGCTCTAAAAAGTTTAGCGCACTTAAGAATTATTGTGTGAACTGCCCTGTGCGGCATAACAGTCCCATTAGCATTTTTGGCGATTATGAGTTATACATTGGAATCGATTGTCAAGTACCATCACTTTACAATGTATACGAAAAAAATCCTACGTTGTTCAGAAAATGTCGCGAAAAATAACAAAACTATGTTGTCCCATCCATAAGAGCCCATGGAGAAAAAAATCTTCAACAGCGTTTTTCTCAGCTTGCTGTTTTAACGAATGGGACAACTATGCTGAAAAGGGCAGTGAACATCAGAAAAATTCTTCGAACGTTAAAACTCGAGAACTTCTCCGAATTTTGTGAACTTCAAGTTTAATCTAGTGATCTTCAAATATCATGTCTAATACCCCGTACAGTTTCACTGGAAATCCTATGTATGAGTGCTCATTGCAAGATAGCCTATATTACATGATATCAGCTATAGTCTGAACGTACTTATAAGGTTGAGGTGGCGTGTTACTTCACCAGGACAGCGAGTCACCTCACATCTCACACCACGCAGAATAGGCCAGAAATTATAATCTCTACACTATACATATTTAGCCTCTCTGAAGTTTACAGGGAATTGGTAAGATTACTCGTAAGATTGTAAAACCGCTCTGAAGTAGGGCATACTTCATCAGAACGCATAGGAATTTAATTAGGAAGATTAACTGAAGTTCGCAGATCTTCTCTGAAGCTATGTGAACTTCCCTCTGAACTTCTATTATGTATGCAGACCAGTTTTGAGATGTTTAGTGTAATTTTGAGAAGTCTAGTGAAGTTATGTTCTCTAAATGAAGTTATGTTATGAAGTTGAGCTCATCTGAGATTTCCATAACTTCACTGAAATTTGTCAAATTTTTCTGCTTATTGCAGTTAGGTGAATAATGAGAAGCTAGATAATATGACGGAATTTATTGGAAGTGGATTGAACGATTGAACTTACCAAGGAAGTGGTTTTAGCTACTCGGTATGCAGAGGAAATTTGGTGAAGTTGGAATGTACGAGCTATGGGTGAATACTTGGGGCAAGACAGCTTTCGATCATGAGTATAATCGGAGTTAATTTTGAGTATCTATGAGTAACTTGTCTGACTAAGAATTTCAAAAGAGACGTGAGTATCCGAAGTATATCGTATCAACGCTGACGCTAACGCTAATGTGTTGATCGGAATTACATATACAATCCTTCTCAAGAGCAGTTGTTGTCGGCGTCGGTAAGATCACCGCTGGGATCGAAATCTAGTGACAGCAAGTTGAACGGGAACTTTATCGTAATTTTTCTGTGATTTAAGGAGCTTGTTGACCAATTTTGCTTACTGAGCAGAAAATTATGGAAAAATCGAGTCATTGTGAGTAAACTTTTCCTGTATATTGATTAAAGATCTGTTTTTTTTTCAGTTTTTACACATGGGAAGATAGAACTAGGGTTCCTTCTTCCTTTTCCTTTCTCCTACGGCCTTTTATTCCATTTTTTTTTTCTTTTCAGAAAGCGAGTAATGGCATATAGCCCAACCACTCGAGGAAAATGGAGCATCATATAACTTTTTTAGATTAGATGCTCCCAACGACCAATCATTTATAACAACGGAACGTGCGGTACGAGATCATCCATTTATTGGATTCTGAAGCATCGTGTTTAAATCTTTTTTTTTTAACATGCCCGATGTTTCTTAATCATCTTGCACCTTAAATGCTGCACAGTAAGCCTGGCCATTTTGGTATATTTTGCGCATCTCTGAGGTACACAATATACCAAATAGACAAGAGAAAGGATGGAGGTATATCTATCATTTTCCAGGATGCTTTCATGAACTAGCTGTGTTGGTGTAGGATTAGATTAGATTAGATAAGATTAGATTAGAAGAAATATGCAAAATATTGCGATGCACTCAAGATGCACTCAATTATTATTTTGCACGTAAATCGAATCAAAAGTGAAAGTCATTTGAAATGCTAGCTTCTAGCAAGGGTTGTAAGATAATAATTTGTAAGGTACAAATCCCTGCTGCCGAATTGTATTTGGTTTTCTCCGCCCATCTCTCCCTATGAGTATTTCTAGTCAAATCCCAACTTCTTTGGACTTGAAATCACATCACGAAAAACTTCGAAGGTCATCAATCCCTAGAAAGCAAAAGAGGCCTCGATAAAATCAATGTAACTTGGATCTTTTAAAAACTGAAAATTTAATATTGCCGTCTCATGAACATCATGCTATATTAAAGTTGATAATGTAACGCCAAATGCTAAATTTTCTCTTAATTGAAAATATTTAAACAAAACATTCTGTCAGACGGTGGTTGTTGCCAGAACTTCTTATGATGCAAAATACGAGACAGGTCTTCTGCTCGATTGGAATGACTTTAACAGATAATCGATTGTTCCAATTCTGACATGTCGTCTCTTTATAAATTCAGCCTCTTTAGTTCTACCTATTTCAATTATTGGTCTAGTACTCTTCTTCCGCCGGCAAAACAGAATTCACTCACTCGTTGAAATTTTCTACCTTATGCGAGAGAGAATGGCTGCATGCTCCCTAATTTTTATCCTCTCTTGGAGCTTACCGAATGGGGTATTACAATTTAATCAAGATTTTTGAGAATCTTAATTAAATTGCGTTTTATACTCGATGGAGCTTACAACCTCTATGTTACAACCAAGAATGAATAAGCTATTGAATGAATTCCAACAGCCTGTACGGGCAATGAGATCAACCCAAATTTGAGTTCAGTTTACTCATAATCGCAAAAAGTGCAGGAACTCAGTAAATTTCTGTGGAAAACATAAAAAATCTACCAGAAAATAAGGAAAATTGACGAAAATTTTACTCAGTCTAGGAGTAGTACCAATAGACTGAGAGAATCCACTTTACTTTTCTCATATTCGGGAATTTTTTTTCCTGAAAAACCGGAGAAAACATGAGGCCCATTTACTCATCGCTGAGCTCCTGCACGTTTGCGATTGATGAGTAAACTGAACTCAAATGAGGGTTGATCTAATTGGCCGTTTGGATTATTTCTGACAAACTTTTAACAATTGTTTGCAGCGAGGTTTGCAGACTTAAAATGCTGACTCCACCGTCTGAAATTATAAAACTAGAAAAATGCGACATATAATCATAACTCAATTAATGTAAATCAGGCATAACATTTGATAACGGCACAAAAGCATTTGTAAACAAACATTCTAAGGCCCTTTACACGCGAACTAAAGTACGCCCACGCAAACCAATACCACATACGGAAAGGTGATAGTTGCCCCTATGCGATGATGTTGTTGGTTTGCGTGGGCGTACTTTGGTTCGCGTGTAAAGGGCCTTTGAAGGTTTGTTTACAAATGCTTTTGTGCCGTTATCAAATGTTATGCCTGATTTGTAAACGGCCTATCAACCTTTGTAAACAATTTGTTACACACTAAGATTTTTTTACAGTATACTGTAATTTTTTACCAAATAAGGAACAGCTGAACATTCGGTAATTTTTTAATTTACAATCCGTTCTGTAAATTTTCTTCGCTTGTGGCCTGTCAAAATTTACTGACCTGGACTGTAAATTTTACTGAAAGATCGGTAAAGTTTACCATAGCGTTCAGTATAATTTTTCTAGTTTTATAATTTCAGACGGTGGAATCAGCATTTTAAGTCTGCAAACATCGCTGCAAACAATTGTTAAAAGTTTGTCAGAAATAAAAAAAAAACTCATACACGTTTCTACCTCATAATAATCAATTAGTCAATAATTTACAATTTTATGAGTAGATATAAGCATTAATGTCAACACGTGGATTTTATATCTGCCCGATAAAATTGCATAATATTGACTGCTTTTATATATACGTTCCTTTATTTGCATTCAAAATTCACGTACAAATTACAAATTAAACAAAACGGAATGTCACGTAAAAGTTACCAGTTGTCCAGTAGTTTTCACCCCGATTTCACGTAAGCAGTATGGGAAAATCAGGTCTTATTTACCTGACTAATCACGTAGATAATCGAAGCTGGATTTTGATCGGCTACGTGTAATTCCGGTAAAAGTTACGTGAAAAATAGGGTGGACGAAAACCACCTATGTTTTCACGTAAATCGGATTTGAAGATTTTTAGAAGTATACTAGAGCATCATCATTTTAGAAATTTTAAAATTATGAAGACTTTTTGACTGTCATTTATACTTAGTATAAAATTAAAACTACACGGCGAATGAGAACGACCCAAATTTGAGTTTAGTTCGCTCATAATCGCCAAAAGTACAGGAACTCAGCGATGAGTAAAATTTGTCTCATGGTTTCCTGTGGAAAACCTAAAAAATCTGCCGGAAAATGAGGGAATTGACGAAAATTTCATTCAGTCTCGGAGTAGTACCAATTGACTGAGTGAATCCAATCTTTACTTTTCTCAAATTCGGGAATTTTTCCCTGGAAAATCCTGGGAAAACATGAGGCAAATTTACTTATCGCTGAGTTCCTGCACTTTTGGCGATTATGAGTGAACTAAACTCAAATTTGGGTCGTTCTCATTCGCCGTGTATGATAGTGTAAAATTTAGTCTAAGAAGCGCAACCGGCGTATTTGAAAAATGTTTATTTTCAAATCTAATAATGAATTGTATAATTGTTTAGTGCATGTTAGTTGGACGTTACATTGTGTGGCGAAAAGGCAGTTTCTGTCCCCTGCGTGATGTATATGGAAAATCGAAGAGTGAACTATATTGTTAATATATTGTATTTGGTTTCAACCTGGATCGGTTATCAATGTTGAGTCTGCTGGTTTTCTGACTAACGACAGTTTGATCGTTTCTTTTTAAAACTTAACTCAGGTTCGCACTGACAAAATGGTGCACTGAGTTCTGCTAATAGTTTGGCGTTATCACAGTCCATTATACCACTATACATGTTACCAAAGTAAAACTACAGATTTCTACTTATTTCAACAAGCCGACTATTTATTTCAAAAACTTAAATCCTAACAATTTGGCCAAATCTCTATCACATAACCTTCTCGATACTGCAGAGTACCGTCCCAGCAATAACCAACACCATTCCAGTGTATGTTTCTAAAACAAAATTCAAATCTATGTTACTGAAAACAATCCAACGTCAAACCATACTTACTCGAACTGGTGCCCTGCTCGCCGAGCAGCCGTGCAGTTATGGCTGTAAACACGAACGTCAGCGAATTTGCCATCGGAACAATCAACGAAAGTTCCGTTCGCTGCAGGGCAAAGACGTAAACAACACTCCCGAACTGGTTCAGTGCTAGCGGGAGCAAATACTGCCACCGTGAGATCAGGAATTTGACCTCCAGCCAAATTTGTCTCCATTTGGTCGGCGATTTCAGATTGTTGTAGCCGAGACTTCCCCGCCGAATGAACGGATTCGTAGCACCCCAGAAGAGTGCCACCACGACGATCATCAGCAACGAGAGAGAATCTACTGCCGCCGTCGGTAGGGGAACATTTCCGAGGTCGCTATCGACTGCGGATGGGATGGCCGTTTGATCCGAAGGCATTTTCTTTCATTGTTTGTGATATTCCCAGAGGAGTTGGGTGGGAAATACCAAACTCTCGAGGATCGGAAACAACCGGTTTGTTTGTAAAAACAAAACAAAACAATCCAAACCAAATGATTTTGACGTTCATCGCTTCTCAAGAGGAACGCAATGGGAAGTGGAACGATTGAAACTTCAGTCACAGGGTGAACCGTGAAACTTGCTTGCTTTAGGCAAGGTGAATAAATCGGAGTCTAGTCGCAAATAATGAATAAAAACATTTGAATACCGAATCAACATGCATTCTACCGTGGACCCCCGGTAATCTGACCATTTTTAATCTGATCACTTTTTATTTTGAACCCCGCTGATTCGCACACCGTTCAAACTAAAATTTGCTCATAAGTCATTCAGTATATGGAATGGAGGAAAGCAAAATAAAACATTCCGAAACGAGACGCAGACGAGGACGCAGAATAAAAACAAAACAGCAAATAAGGCTACCATTTCTGATGTAAAAAAAAATGAACATAGTTAATATGCATGAAGTGCCGTTCAGATTAGCGCCCCCACGGTATTTCCAAGTCATGCAATATTTTTGAATTTTGATATAAGCAGAACCTATCATCGAATTTAAAAATCCGCAGAAAATGTGACAGAAATAAACAACCCAACCCAAGTATTGGGAAACTCGGTGAGCTTTATTCAAATTTTATTACTTTTTAGTACATTCATTATTTTCAATAGTAAAAAAAAATCTCTCAAAACAAACGTTAACATTTTTTGCAACATTTTTTCCCCTTTTGTTAAACAGAAATGTGACCACTTTAAAACTCCAGATCCAAACATCAATCATCACACGGCCGAATTTTTGCAGGCTTGAATAATTACTAATTTCATTGTGAAGCTAAAATGAGAAATGGTTAAAATTATTCCAGGGATTAGTAACTTCACGCCGATTCGCAGTTTGAGGTTAGATTCTCCGTTGTTTCTGAAGGGTGTTAGTCTTCGAGCTACCGGATGCCGGCCCGCTTTCCCGCGTTCTCCTAGGCAACGAATGTGTCTGATGGCCGCCGCCGCTGCCGGCTACTCTGCCATCCCCGTCGGACGTCCGATAGGATTTCCTCGAATTGTCAAACGATGAACTCTTGTCCGAATCCAGATCGTCCTTGCTGCCCGTTTGACTCCGTCGGGTCTTCTGCTTGGTGCGACTCAACGTCGACTGGCTGGAGGATCGATTCTTGATCGGTCGCGGTAGGGTTGAGATCGGTTTCACCACCTGTTGCTGCTGGTCGTTGTGGTAGTTGATTTCGTAGCCATCACGCATGTGCTTCGGTTTCCACGGAGCCAGAACCGAAACCGATCGTGAAACCGTACGGGTCATCGGTTGGACGTTTTTCGGGTTGTTCAACGATTCACGGGAGTACGCCATCCGGTGGGCGTTCGCAATGTGCGGGTGAGGAATGTCGCCAACTGAAAATGTGAGGAATGGTAAGATAACTGTATGCATTGGAGGAGAATAGCTGTTGAATAGCTCACCGGTGGTTGCGTGCAGGAATACCACGCTACGCTGGCTCTGCTGACTAGACTCACCCTCGGTGCCGGAACTGTCCTGAACGCGATCCATTTCCCTGTGAATTAGACATTAGGTTAGCCTAGCTCTACCATCAACCTCAGTCGACAACTCACCTGGTTAAGCTACCTCTCCGTTCGAAACTTCGAGCCGGCTTCTGCGGACCGGAAGGAGGTTTCCTATGTTGCTGTTCGCTGCGACTTCGACTGGATCGTTGATAACGCTCGGATTCCACGTGATCTACACTGTTTTCTCGCGAGCGGCTGTAGCTCTTGCGGTTAATGGTGCGATCCGGAGTGTATTCTCGGCTCATGCTGTGCTGCCGCCGTACCGGATTGCCACCAGGTGAAGGCGAGTGCATCCGATAGCTCGTCGAGTACTCGGAAATGTCATACAGGTCCTTTCTCTGTATTGAGAGCGGGAGATTACATGAATCAGAACTCTAAATTATCGGAGGGCCTGATCATACCTTAGATTCGTTTCGGTGCTCTTCTTCGTCCAGATTCTGCATCGACGTCGCACGGTTGCGGGTCTCTCTGATCTTTGGTGTCGCTTCCAAATCGTAAGCGCTCTGATATTTCTTATCCGCCTTCGTCAGCGAAGACTTGGAACTGGAAAACGAGACAACGGTAGAATTAGGAGGAATGCAGGCTGGATCTGCAATTACTTACCGACTAGGTCTACTGGGGGCATTGGCATACTCTGTATCGGTATCACCGAAGAACCGCAGGTTTTTCTGCTGCTTCGACCCACCGGAGGACGATTTGAGGTCACTTCCCAGCTGTGACTTGGAGTCGGACTTCTTGCGGGACAACCTATCGAATGACTTAAACCAGTCCGTACGGGAAGCTTTCGGCGTATCACTCGTTTTCGTGCTCTTGAACGACAGTGAACGCTTTGTCGTCGATGGGCTGGACTTTGGGGTTGACAACCGCCGGCGGTTGGCAATGTCTGGGACCTGTGGATTCGAGGATTGTTGACCAACATTTTAATGTAATTCAATAAGATCGTCTTACCTTGGAGTTGTATTGATCATCGAATCGCATCCTCTCATCGCTACGGATGCTACTCTGCCGGGAGTCCTTCTTGTCCGATTCACCCATCCTGACCAGTTTCTTCTTGGTGGAACTCATGAACTGCTTGACCTGGAAATTTAAACCTCGCTTTAGTTTACGATCAGTTGACCACCTCCGATGACTCACCTTAGCCAATCCACCGGTCTTTTTCTCCTGCTTCAACGAAGATTTCAACTCTTTCTGATAACCACGGCCCGAATCCGGATAGTCATCTAGCCGGGGATCGAACCGACTGCCGTCGTCTATGCTCCGTTCCCGGTAGGAATACATCCGCTTCGGCTTTCGGAGACAACTGTTAGTATGATTCCGTTCATGACGAAGAAAACTCTCGCTTGCATGTATGTTCTGGGCCAAGGTGAATTTCTTCCTGAAATCGACAATACAAATTTATTTGAAATCCTCAGATTACCAATTCTTATCCAACTCACCCCGTTGGATACTCGTTATTGAGCGAATCCTTTCGGAAGTCGTTCTCAATCCCGGAGTCTCCCTTGTCCATCACTTGCCCCGAGTGACTAGTCTCACCCAGGTTTCTGGAAAAGTTCTGCACCTCAGTCCGCTCCACGGATCCATCCCGTTCGAACGTAGTTCTCGTCGTCCGGATATCTTCCATGTTCTTGCTCGGGTACTTGATTCGCTCCACGTACTCTTCCGAGTACGGTCTTCCATCGCGGTTAACCACCGTCTTCGTGATGAATGATTCCACCTGCTGGTTCTTGGAATTCTTACGACGAATCAAGTCTTCCTCCACCGGTGGTGGTGACAGAGTGCTCCTTCGCACCGGTGAAGCACTGGCCATCCGATCAACGCTTCTCCGCGCAGTGCTATTTTGCAGGTAACTCTCGTAGTGGGAAGCGCTGCCCCGTCTAACCACATCTCGATCGGGTGAGCCCTTGTCCAGCACTTCCCTCGAGCCGATGCGGTTGCGAATTCTTGACTCCAGAATCTCTCGCCGTTGACTGAGTTCGTGAAACTCGGGGAAGTACTCCTTGCCATCGGCCTGGCCACGGTAGTTGGCGCTGAAGTTGTGATTTGCAACGTACGACGGCGGAGTGTACTTGACGGTTGGAGTGATGTGATCTTCGTCGGAATTGGTGAAGGAATCCGTCACCGCCGTCGCCGTCGTCTGGTGGGTGGTCTTGAGGTAGGAGGTTGAGAAGCGTTTGCTGTAGTCTATGCCCAAGCCTTCGTCTTCGTCGCTGTTGTAGGGTTTCAGTTTGGTCCGAGGAAAGTTGTCCGTCTCGTCCAGGGTGTACTTGGGAAGTGGAGGACTCGGACGTTTCATGGTGAGGTACTCCTTGGTGGCCATCCTGTCGGTGAGGTCGTCGTGTGGACTACATTTCTTGACGTCTTCGTCGCTGGTGTTGGCTAGGTATTGATTGCGGACGGTGTGCTTTTCCTTGCTATCATTGTTGCACACGACCTGGGCGTAGACGATGGGTTCGCTTGGGCGAGTGTACGAGAAGCCGTCGCGAACGATCTGTGCTGGTGGCGGAGAGGTGTGTCGTTCGGTGGAAAGGCGTTTGACGATGTTCTCGACGGTTACGCCTTTGGTGAGGTTGGGCTTGTCCGGTGGTTGTTGGGAGCTGTGCAGGCGTTCTTGGGATTTGGAGTTGTGTCGCAGCAGGGCGATGGTTTCCATTACGGGCTTGGACGCGGGTCGGTTTGGGAAGATATCCAAGTCCTGACTGGCTAGGAAACTGTGGATCCCGGTCGGATGCTTCTGTTGAGTGTACGCGGTAAGTGGATCTACGGGTTTGGTGTACTCCACGGGGGAAGCTTCAATGATCGGTGTTAGTGGATCATTTTTCAGCTCCTGGGTGTTTCTTCGAGGGATTCGACGAGGAGTTCTCACTTGACGGTTTTGACCAACATCACTCTTGCTACGGCTGACGGTGATGCGGGGCTTGTCTTCGGCTGGTGGCTTCACAGATCCGGATCCGTCATGCCTGGTCTTGTTGAACAAGCTCAGCAGATTCTTCTGAGGTTTCTTCGAGGAAGCGTCACTGGAACTTCGGTTGACGGTGGCCTTTCCACGGGACTTCCTCGACGGGAGCGAGTTGAACTTGTCGTCCTTTCCGTTGGTGCTGCTGCTATGGGATCGAGCCCGATCTAGGCGATCCGCTTGGGCTAGAACGAATTCGGCCTCCTTGCGGAGGGCTTCCGGAGATAGCTTCTGCGCTTCCTTGCGGACGTTCGAATTGGTAGGGAAGGTTCGCGGTTCCGAACGTGATCCTGTGGGAGGGGGAATGATAGAAAGCTGTTAGCCTTGGTAAGGAATGGATTAGAGTGATAAAATTAGGCATCAGTTCTAGATTAGCATTCACCAGCACATTCCGAAACAGGTTTAAGCGGTCTAATTTATGACGTTCACAAGTAATTCTTGGAAATCGTAACAATTTATGCAAAGCAACCCGGACCTGTAGGATCCTCCAGCACCGGAGCAGCGGTCCAAGTAGGCACTTGGCCGTAATTTACGAGCTACGTGTTTCTGTAAGGCTCATTTGACCGTCAACGCATACTACCACCGGCTGCACCGGGTTATTATTTATGCATCTGTACAAGTGGCTCTACTCAACAACAATAACAAAAACAACAAAGTGATCGTTCTGTGCAAGTTAAGTAGCACTTGTTTGTTTTGCTTCTCTCCTTCAAAAGCGGAGAAAAGGTAGCACCAACAGCAGCTCCGAAGGAAAGTGCTGTTTATGTTCGAAAAGTGTGCCCTCCGTGGGAGTACCCTCGAGAAGAACGCTCGCACGGGGTCGCGCTGCTCCAACATAAATGGATGTGGCATAAATCAGCACCGGCCTACTGCTGTTTGCGGCTCAGCGCACCACTTAAATGATTGCTTGTTCGCACCGCCAACTATGCCTTATGCTAAACGGAGCAGCATGATTCGGAACACACCAAGCCAAAGCGCGCGAGAGAGAGCAAGATTGTTTCGAACCTTCCGACACCTCCCAGGCGTGCACTTGGGCTGGGAAAATCAATTTCACGGATGACGTTAATAAATTGGATTAAGGTTGGATAAATCATAGCGTTGAAACATTGTTGCCCGATTCCCTAGCATCCTGAACGAAGTTCTGAACTCCCGTCAGACAAATCGGGTCGAATCAACAACCCAGTTTAACCTAAACATGCCACCTACACCACCGCAGCAATAACTTCCGCACGCGTGTTGAATCACGGAACTCCTATCCGACAGCACGGCATTCCGTCTCGACGAGACCGCCAAGATCTTCCTACTTAACTTACATAAGATCAAGATCATTCTTTGACCGTCCGGCTCCGCTCATTTCCCATTCTGTAGCAGCGGTGGTGCGGCCGCCCACGAAAACTGTATCATGCGCATTTTGATTCGCTTTAGCATGGCCTGCTGCTACGCGGCGGTAAACCTCCGCAGATTTCACAAGAGTATCTACCTATCTCAAGGCTTCACCATCATGACGTCGCCGCTCGGCCTACTGAGTTGGTGAATTAGAATTCTTTTCTCCCGATGACATGTGCTATTTGTTGTTGTCGTCGTCGCGGTGAACAAGTTTTATAGTGCTAGATTCTTGCTCGGCTATGTAAATTTGCATCTTCTTTCGGATGTGTGGGCCTGACACAGTTCCACGCATTTTTTTTTATCTAGCATCGTTGTTCCGGGGACGGCCTGCATATGTGAGCGAGTGACGTAAGGCGGTTGTTAATTGTCAAGTGTGTGTCACGCGTTAGCCCCAACTGTGCTAAAATGTGTTGTGAGGCATTTCCGCACTGATTCACAGCTTGCACGTTCTGACGGGAGTTACAATTACAGTGATTAGTTTCACAGTTAATTACTAGGATCAATGTTAATACATCGCCATTAGTTAAGCGCCAAAACGGAACGGAATATTAGTGTGAGTGTGCGCGGGTGTGGGTGTGCAACTAGGAAGCACCGTTCGTGTGGTGTAAATCATTCCATTAGTCGGTTAGCGTGCAGTTCAAAACAAGTGATTATTTACGATCGTGACGGATGCGTGTGACCTTTTTGAACACATAAAGCAACACAAGCAATAGCAATTGAAAATTTTGACAAACCAATTCTTTTGACATGCACGTCCCGATTGAAGGACACGGTACGCGGCGGCACTTGGGGACCAGCAGTGGCAGCAGCAGCAGCAGCAGCGGTGGCTTTCGAGTTCGAGTTGGTCGAAGCGGCTAGCGAAGGAATCGGCAGGATCGGGTGGGCAACATCCGTCATTCTACTGGTGCGACTACTACGACACCAAAGCTAGAAGAAGGCGTACGGCGGCAAGGTTCCATCTACTCATAGCGGTAAATTTTTGCAGGGTCGATATATAGGCTTATAATATACTACGACTACGACTACAATCGGCTTGAACTCATTTAAGCAGACAAAATGAACTAAACTACGGTAGTCAATAGCACACAGCTAAGAACTGCATCTAAAGTCTGCACGGGGGATAGAAAAGATTTTGAACATCAATTCCGAGAACTTTGGTGCATGGGTTTAAATTAGGGAAAGCGTGTGTTAAACTACGGCTGTACTATGTGCAAACTATCGGTCAAATTATCAGATCGCATTACTTTTTTTATAGGTTGAATACTTACTGATACGCTGACAGTCTTATGGGTTTGGGAGGACTCTTTGGGTGCACAAAGTCGAATTTTACAGTCATTAATTTTCATTATCTTCAAACCAAACCTCTGATTAATTTAATCCTTTGTTTGTATCTTGGGGTCAATATGACCCCAGGCAATTTTTACAATCTTGATAACCATCGTGGTGGCCTTCTTTGGACTGGACGGGCTACATTGGACACATTCAAACTTGTTGAATCAAATGAAGTAGATTAAAGAATCGATTAATTTTGCATACCAAAGGGTGTAGTCACTCTACACACTTATTTTACGCAAACTTTTTTCTCAGTGTGCCTCACGTATATTGACCTTTTTGACGTTTAATGATCTTTCTCTATCTAGCACACATGGATGAATGAACGGTTTGTTTTCCCACTAATCTGTTTCCCTCTTGCTCACACTCGTTCAATTTAAATGGTGCAGTAGTGTGCGCCGATTAAACGTCAAAAGCTCTATTGTGAATATTGGCTTGTTATGTTGAGATTGACCAGGGTGGCCATACCTACCGATTTATCGGTAGTCCTACCGATTTTCGGGATGCCTACCGATTCACAGGCGAAAGGTTCAAAACCAGGGTCCTGGCTGGCGGCCATGTTTTTGGTGCTTTCATCTGCTCTTGTCTTTCTGCTTACAACACGATTTTGCGTCCTTTCCCTTTTTTGTATAGGTCAGGCGTGGCCCGTGATCTTGCCTACTATCAAACGTATAGGATTGATATGGGGTTGCCAGTCCCCTGTTCAAAACTACCGATTTTTCCCTTTTCCTACCGAGAATCACAGATTTTTAGTAATGCCAAATGTTGAATACCTATGTTTTGTTTTCCGACTATAGTCAATCAATTTGATCGAACGCGATACGTTTTGCAACTTAAATCCAAACGGATGAGTTTGTTTACGTTTAATCTAGTGTCGGTGTATTTGGGGGAGAGGTAGCTCATCGATTCTTCCGGTTCGCCTCCTAGCATCGTGCTATAAGGTACCAGGCGATAACCAGGGTAGTTGATCGATAACTCGATGACGTCATTTCGTTGGCGTCTGCAATGGGAAATTCTCATAGCAGGCGTTGACGATGGGACGTTATCGAGTTGTTGAATAGCAACTATCGTGGTAACTCACCGATTACCTGTCGATCTGCCAAATTTGGAAAGACGTCTGCATTGAATTGTCTCATATAATAATATTCCGCCCACTATATCACAAGAAATTGCGAGTAGCTGAGTGGAATGGAGATAAGTTAAGCATTGGGTACAGGACCAAGTCTCCCCTGGGTGGTGCCAAAAGATGAGCGCAATAGAATCATCAAGTTGCCATAAGGCACGGAATGAGACTATTGCATGGCTGGGTAATCAAAGTCTTCCATTCGTTAGTCATTTCAGGTGGATTAGAACAGGTTTAGGTTTAGGGTGGGCGTTGGCCAGATTTGGATTTTTCAGATGTAATCCTGGATAGGACCCTGTCATTGAACGTCGGGTGAAAGTGAAACTTAATGAAGGCCTAGTACTTTTTCGTAGTTTTTAGTTTTAGGATTTGAAAGATCGTCGGTTACAGTGGCCTGCTTACTGAGCAGAAAAACGCAGTCCCAGGTCCTTACATATCAAAGATATTTATGGTAAAATCGCTTGTGTATCGTGTATTTTGCGAAACTCGTTGCTGTCGTTGGTTCCGGGTTTGAATGGATACACAAATTTGAGCAACGGTATTATGTGATATGAGGGGCTCGGTGGCCTTAGAGCAACCGTTTTCGCTTACTGAGCAGAACATCATGAGTCTAATCTCAGGCCCATCCACATTCAAGATTCGTCAATCGTTTTATAAATTATATTACTACATGGTAATAACAGCAACTCGGTGATTAAAAAGGTGCTCGTATGCCTAGTGGCAAACGTTTTTGCTTACTGAGCAGAAGACCGTGGGTTTAGTCCCAAGCTCCTTCGCGTTATATGATCGTTAGGACATCAATTCAGCTTATCGTTTACCAAAACGAACCCTGCTGCAAACCCAACCCTCTTATCCAACATCCCAGTGATTCCTCGTGGAAGTGCAGAGGTGTTCTCGGCTTCCATCAAAGCGAGTGTCATGTCAACACAATCCTTCCCATTCCTTTCTTGACCTGTGTTCGGGCGCGGCCGGCGCTGGTATTGCCTAATTTAAGATCACCAGTTTTTACACATTGAGGATGATTGCTAGTCCCAAGCATCGTCTATTGGTTCTCTGTGTAATTACAGCTGATCTGGCAGTAACAGAGTAGGAACCGTGGGCGGTCAATCAAGCTCAAGCTCAAGCTCAAGCAAGCTTAATCTAGTGTCGGTGTATAATGAGTCACCCCAAGAGTGAAGCCAAGTCTACCTATTGAACTGTCAAACCGGCTACCTATCGTGCAAAGTAAACAAGCATTACGATGCTATGAAAGGTCCGCGAAAGGTATTGAAATTAAATATAAAATAAAATCGAAGAAATGATCATAAACACGCAGTGAGCATTACATTTGTCATGCGATACGGTTTGTAATGGTCAGTACTGAGAATTTCTACTACTTTTCGTTAAGGTAAATTGACAAAATCACTAATTTAATGATGTACTACAGTCATTACTTTTTTTCCTTGCTAGAAGTCATTTGAAGTTGATGTAGAAGTCGTCTGTTGCCAAGTGAAAAGAAAGGGAATCTTTCGAAAACCGTGATGCGAGTTCAACTGTTTTTCTCTTGGCGTGACTCATTATACACCGACTCTAGTTTAATCGACTTTCTCTGTCTGTCTCCTAGAGGATATGCTTTTTTTCTGTTTCTCCTTTTTTGGTTTTGGGAAGATTCCCTTTCTTTTCACTTGGCAACAGAGGACTTCTACATCAACTTCAAATGACTTCTAGCGAGAAAAAATAGCGGCTGTAGTAAATTATTAGAACAGTGGTTTTCTCAAATTATCTTAAGAAAAAATAGTATATATTCTCATTACTGATCATTATCAAACGAATCCCATGAAAATTTAATGCTAACTGCGTGTTTATGATCATTTCTTCGTGGACCTTTCATAGCATCGTATTGTTTGTTTACTTGTGCATTTTTGAAGGCTCAATATTCTTTGTTGAGAGGTGGAAGCAGTACTATCAACCGGGGAAACTAACGATTTTAAAATGACTCACTAACCGGCGCCGGTGATGTATTGGTAAGCGCGATTACTTCTCACCACAGCAGGCCTGGGTTCAATCCCAGTCATGGGTTCATGAGTTGATGGGTCGATAGGTAGAGTCCAGCTGTGGGAGCTGCCTCCCTGGCGTCGGTTAAAGCCCTACAGTAAAAGTATGGACGACTGTCACCACAAAACTGGAAAAGCTGTTCCAATCGAGCAAAGCGGTGCATTTTGACGGTTCGATTGGAACAACTTTTGACAGACGTCCATACTTTTACTGTAGGGCTTGAGCGTCGGTAGCATTGGTGCTCAGCACGGAAAACAAGATCGACGGAAAACAATATCGACAGAAAACAAATCAAAGGAAAAAAGATCCCAAGCAAATCGATTAACGTACCCCATTCTAGTCGAAATTCTATTACTACACTATGTTTGTTTTGATTCGCTATGAAAGTTTGACAGATGAAAAGAGCGGTTCGCGGATTTTCCTATGTTTGGGGGGAGGGGGGGGGGGGGTGCATCGAATAGCTTGAGACCGATGAGAGTACCAGACCTGAGCCAAAAAGTTGAAAACGTTTCGGGACCTTCCGGTCTTAGAGTTACCTCTATGGTACTCATTGGCGTAGCTAGACAATGTATCTGGAGGGGGCCGAGATAATTCTGGAGGGGGCCTAGATAATTCTAGAGAGGGACTAGATGGTACTATGACGAGAACCTTAACGGTAATGCAGCAGAAAACGAAGGTGGCACGGCACCAGACCTAGGAGCACGCACAGATGTCGTCTTCTGTGTACCAGCCCTGCGTACCGGCCCTGATCTCCAGGAAGTTAAGCGAGGTTTTAAAATACGGTGGTTAAGCTGAACTAATTTCCAAGATTTGGGTGGTGGAAATATTACCGGAGGAGTGGATGGAAAGTGTCGTATGCCCGATCGCGACAAGTTAGCTGGCTGCAACTACCGCGCGATCACACTGCTGAGCGCCACTTACAAGGTAAAGGCTGATTACAAGTAAATTGGTACGCCCCTCGCGCACCGCTAGCATGCCTCTGGTGTTGGGAATCGAAAATCTTTGACAGTGGTTTGTTTACACTTCAATAGAGAACAACGGGTGCAAGTTTGATCAAAGTAGTCGATCGCGTTCAGAAATAACATCAAATGGAACTCGGAAGCAGAAAAAAATATTGTGCACAAATACCTGGAAAATCCGTAGTGGTCCAATTCCATGCTGGCTAAAGTGCTGAAAATGCCGAACACAACAGTTTGTCGAGGGCTCAAAACCTACAAGGAAACCCTGAGTGTGGAAAGGAATCAGTGGACCTACGAAAAAACTAAAACCAGGGGTCGCCAACCCGGGTCTTTCGATCCGAGATATGGCCAGAAGGTACAACGCCAACTTTCAAACGGAGCGGAACATCCTTGCCAAGGAAGGATACAAGTCGTACAAAGCCAGTAAACATCCGAACTGGCACATGAAGCAGAATTCCGTGGCCGAAAAGCGTGCAAGGCTCTTGTACGACCGTGTTTTGACGAAGCACAAGGGCTGCACTTTGATCGATGACAAAACATACGTCAAACTCGATTTTAAGCAGCTTCCCGTTTAAAAGTTTTACATCGCGACTGGACGTGGGAATGTTCCGGGAAGATTCAAGTTCATGTTTGCCAACAAGTTCGCGAAGAAGACCATGAT